ATTTCAACCCTGATACAACAAATAGTATTAGTACTGAATGATAATGACAGATTGCATTCCCATAAACGTCCAATCATACATGATTGAGTTTTTTTTTTGCATTCACATTCTCTATGTGAATGGGTGTCAACCATTCCATAACACACTACATATTTTGTGTTTACAATTTGTAACCAATCTCAAGAGTGGTTGTTAAATTTTTTAAATCAAACAATCACATTTTTGAAACGAAAAAAATGAGAATGCACACTCAATTGATTCAATCATTACACAGCTCTGCTGTATATTTACTACATATATAAAAATATAAATTAATGTGTTCAGAAAGATCCACTAAAAAAATTTCACAAATTTGTGGTGGTCTGGAAGCGGAGTAAACTTAAGCTAATTATAATGAATCTAATCTAACCCAGACACGAGTTCTTTTGTGGGAACAATTCTATAAAAAATTACACTTAATATATATATATACATAGTCAGCCCGAGTGAAGTAAAGAAGTATAAGTTCGGGCGAAACCGATCTACGTAGACTGCCCTCACTCGCTAGTCTCAAAAATTGAGCGATCACTAGAAATAAAGAAATTTTCATTAAGTAGTAGCATTCCTGGATATCAAAGGCGCTTTCAACAAGGTCTTCCCGTGTACGATTACCTCGGCTCTGGCGGACATGCGGGTGGAGAAAATTCCGTTTAGGATCATCCACCAATTGCTCATCAAGAGGGTGGTGAGCTCCGAATAGGGGAGGCAGACGATGCACAGGTCTGTTAGGTAGGTCACTCCACCGGGGAGTGTTCTCTCTCTAATTCTATGGGAATCAACTGCTGCTGCGCATGGAGGCGGATGGATGTGGGGCTGTCGCAGGGAAAATTTCCTCAAACTCCATGTGATAATATGGAAGCAACTCTTTCTTCACTCGTTATTTGGACCAAAAACTGCCTCCTTGAGGTTAACCTAGCTAGCTACTCTGGAATGACAACACAACTGTACGCATCGAGAAAGTCACCACAGCGCTTTTCAAATGTAAATAGGTGATCAGTGTATCGTGGGGCTTCGCGCCAGGATAGCTCACTGAATCTACAACTGCCATTGCTCGTCTGATTCTGCTTAAGGAGCCCTAGTAAGGTGGCCTACTTTATCAAGACAACAGCGCTTAAACAGTTTCAAAGGGCACAAAAGATTGCGGAGCTATGCAAAGCGGAGCTTCTTTGCTCTTCCGCCCCCGCTTGATACAGTTGCTCGAGAAATAGCCGCCATTGCAGCCATAAGACTTAGAGAGGTTCCTGAACTCATGGTACATCCAGTCACTCGATATCCTAAGAACCGATACCGGCAATCATATCTTGACCAAAAATTATAAAATTATCATGCCAACCCGAAAAGACTTGGACACCAGGCTTCACCACATATGCAATGCTACAGACATGTACAGTGATGGCTCCAGCGGCGACGGAAAGGTCGGGGGAGGAGTTTTCTCCACGGAGCTGGAACTAGAAACATTTTTAGGGCTTCCCGACCACTGCAGTGTGCATCGGGCGGAGGTGCTGGCTATCTAGGATGCCACTGGGTACCTAATAGATAAGAAGACCCAATGAGAAAATACAGATTTTTAACTTCTCTGCATCATACAAGCAGCGAACGTACGCCGGAGAAATCTCTCTGGGAAACTGCTAGGCTTATAAGGCCTTCTTACGATGAAAAATGCGCGTCTATACTCTTAGGGTTAAAACGAACCGAGGTACCTATTCTTACAAGAATTCTTACAGGTCAATCGGAAGACATGCCTCGAGATTGAAATAAACGCCACAGACTACTGCCGCAGATGCGACTAGGAAGAGGAGAATGTGCAACTCCTTATATGAAAAATCCCAGCACTCAGCAGAAGATGACTACAGACGTTCGGAAAGCCCTCTCTACAAAACCTTGCGGTAATGTCGGAAATCAATATTAGAGCATTATCGAAGTTCGTTGTGTTAAGGAATTGGTTTGATCCCGAGTAAATGTCGCAACAACACAGGTCTTTCCTTGGCCTAACCTAACCTAACCTAAGGGTAATACTTTTACCAAATTTGGTGGGAATTAATAAATAGGTTTTTTAAAAAGCAAGAAAAGTTATCCAAAGTTTAAAAGAACTTCAATTTGTATTATACCAATAAATTTAAGTCAAGTTTTCAGTTTAACAAAAAATGTATGTTCAATTTTTAATGTCCAAAAATTTATGGCCAGCTTTGAAAATTGATCTAAATTTTAGACAATTTTTTCAATTTGGAAATCACCACATGTGCAGTTTTCAGTTTATGAAAAACATTTGGTGATCAAAAATGTATGTCCACTTTATAAATTCATAAAAAGTTATATAATTTTTTTGTAAATTACCAGAAAAATATGGATATTTATTGACAATATTTTATAAAAAAAAAATTTTATAACTACTTTGTTGATTAACAAAAATCTATTCCGTCGTTTATTTTCAAGCATCCATCCAAATATGTATAACCAAACCTCTTAAAAGAGGTTATGTCCAGTTTTTAAACAAAAATATATGTCCAGTTGATTTATACCCAAAATAGTGTAAGCGGTTTGTAAAGTACCAGAAAGTTTATGTCGGGCTTTCAGTTTCTCAAAAGCTTTTGTCCACATTTTTTATGGCCAAAAATTTATGTCCTGTTGTAAAGTTTTCAAAAAAGTTATGTTAAATTTTTGTTAACCAAACTTTATAATTGTTTTTTAAATTACCAAAAATGTATGCCCACTTATTATATTCAAGCTTTTATATCCAATTCAATATTCTACCATTCCGTAGGACCAAGGTTCTATCACTGGTCAACGTAAAATTCCAAAAAAATGACAATTTCACTTCGTAAGACCAAGGTTCGATCCCTGCTCAAAGCAATACCCCAAAAAAAAGGCACAAAAAAGAGGTTTTTTGCTAAACAGCGGTAACCCTCGGTAGGCAAGGGCAAACCTCCAAGTGCCTTAAGAATGGTACTCATTCTCTCTCATTTGTGTAGCCACATCAAACTCGGTCAATCACTTGAAAAAAATATTAGCGCCAGTAATATTATTATTTAATATTCGATTTATGTTGACCTTTGAAATACCCAAAAAACTAAATTTTTGTTTACCAAAAATTAGGTAATAGAAAGCTTTCAACTTCGAATTTATAAGTAACCAAACCAAAGGAAAAGTAGGGTGGAATTTTACGATAAAATTATTTCAGGAACTTCCGCATTTAGTTTACCCCTTGGAGTTTGATTTCAGTTTTTCCTAAGGTTAATTATAACTCAATGTCATGTTTTCGACATAATAGAGACAAGTAGTGAAACAATATGAACAGGTTGCTCCTAATAGCACATGTGTGATATCGTAAACATCCAAGGAAATTATACACCTACGCTTTGCAAAATTAGCAGCTTGCCTTAATCAAACAGAACATAAATTGCACAGTGGCTCAAGGCAAATAATTATAATTACAAAAATATATTAATATGCCAAATAAGCTATAATTTTGCTTTATAAATGTCAGATATAATGCATACTACCACACTTATATACATACATACCTGCATATTTTTATATGCGAGTATCTTACTCACGAACTCATTTGTGTAACATTTATTTATTTAGAAAGATTAATGTACCAACACGAAAATGTTGCAAAAGGCGTCTGGTTCTATATGATTAAATGTAATTACATTAATCTAAGCCGCTAATCTGTGTGTTTATAAAATGTGTCTACATACATACATACACATACTTACATATGCACTATATGTGTTTATAAATGTTGATATACACCCCCAATGTACGTAAGTATGTATGTATGTATATATATTTCATTTGAATATGCGCACACATGAGCTTGCCACCAAATCACTGATTGTTTTACAAAACGTTATGATTGGCTTTAAAAAAGTAATTTTCTAAGGCATCTTAGCCAATCTGACAGCAAATAAATCAAAGCGACCGTATTGATTGCCAATATTCAAAAGAGTTTATATATGTACATATATGGATGTATGCATATCCCACATGTTCACGACTATGTACTACATATAGACGTTTATACCTCATTAAGCTGGCATTTTGACTGAATATCTCCCAAGATTGTTTTGCTTTGTCGCCATTGCCGCTTTTCAAATTATTGTTAAAATACGCGGGCAGCTTAATTGCATAGCTTTGGTTGAATTTA